GAACCAACTAAATGTGCAATTGCATATGTAGTTTGTTTCCAAAGGTCGAAATGGCGAGAACACGAGAATTCACCTCACAGTTTTTCATACTTCACACATTGGGTTCCGTGGATAATCGATCTTTAACCACTGGGCGATCCTATCATCAGTGCTCACAGGTAGATGGCACAGGCGTTCAGCGGATGATGCAACCTCACACAATGTAAGACGTGTGAAAGAATCTGACTTCATCAAAACGTGTCCAAAACCCAGGCTTCGAGATTCGCCTTTAACACGGTCAAAGGCTCTTGATTTTGTGTATTAACATCACGACAGTTGATTTGCATCAAGAATATACTCAACTATGAGAACAAGATAAATTTGACTTCTTGCATTTTGAACTAGTTTCCAAAGGTCGAGATCGAGAGTACATCGCGAGCTTTAACCCAACAGCAGTTCATACTTCTATGGCATGAATAGCGAGCGCCTTAACCACAAGGCTATCCCATCACCACAGTGTTCAAAAGAAGATGGCACAGGTAATGACTGTGTTGTATGGTTGACTACACTCAAGGGGGCTAGTAGTCTTAGGTTCTTTTGGTTGTTTGTTTCATAGTCGTTTAGCGCCGCAGTATTACAGCTGTGACGGCTGTAAATAATCGAGCCTGGGTCAGCCGATTCACGCTTTCGGGGAGTTTGTATCGAGATTAGGTATTTTTCATTTGTTTTCTAAGGAACTGTTAGGCTGATGTTGTTTTCTAAGGAACTATTAGCCTGGTGTTGCTTTCTAAGGAACTATGAGGCTGATGTTGATTTCTAAGGAACTATGAGCCTTATGTTGTTTTCTAAGGAACTATGAGCCTGATGTTGTTTTCTAAGGAACTATGAGCCTGATGTTGTTTTCTAAGGAACTATGAGCCTATTGTTGTTTTCTAAGGACCTATGTGCCTATTGTTGTTTTCTAAGGAACTATGAGCCTGATGTTGTTTTCTAAGGAACTGTTAGGCTGGTGTTGCTTTCTAAGGAACTATGAGGCTGATGTTGATTTCTAAGGAACTATGAGCCTGATGTTATTTTCTAAGGAACTATGAGGCTGATGTTGTTTTCTAAGGATCTATGAGCCTGATGTTGGTTTCTAAGGAACTATGAGCCTGATGTTGTTTTCTAAGGAACTATGAGCCTGATGTTGTTTTCTAATTAACTATGAGCCTGATGTTGTTTTCTACGGAACTATGAGCCTGATGTTCTTTTCTAAGGAACCATGAGGCTGATGTTGTTTTCTAAGGAACTATGAGCCTGATGTTATTTTCTAAGGAACTATGAGGCTTATGTTGTTTTCTAAGGAACTATGAGCCTGGTCTTGTTTTCTAAGGAGCTATGAGCCTGATGTTGTTTCCTAAGGAACTATGAGGCTGATGTTGTTTTCTAAGGAACTTTGAGCCTGAAGTTGGTTTCTAAGGAACTATGAGCCTATTGTTGTTTTCTAAGTAACCATGAGCCTGATGTTGTATTCTAAAGAACTGTTAGGCTGGTGTTGCTTTCTAAGGAACTATTAGGCTGATGTTATTTTCTAAGGAACTATGAGGCTGATGTTGTTTTCTAAGGAACTATGAGCCTGGTGTTGCTTTCTAAGGAACTATGAGCCTGATGTTGTTTTCTAAGGAACTATGAGCCTGATGTTCTTTTCTAAGGAACTATGAGGCTGATGTTATTTTCTAAGGAACTATGAGGCTTATGTTGTTTTCTAAGGAACTATGAGCCTGATGTTGTTTTCTAAGGAACTATGAGCCTGATGTTGTTTTCTAAGGAACTATGAGCCTATTGTTGTTTTCTAAGGACCTATGTGCCTATTGTTGTTTTCTAAGGAACTATGAGCCTGATGTTGTTTTCTAAGGAACTGTTAGGCTGGTGTTGCTTTCTAAGGAACTATGAGGCTGATGTTGATTTCTAAGGAACTATGAGCCTGATGTTATTTTCTAAGGAACTATGAGGCTGATGTTGTTTTCTAAGGATCTATGAGCCTGATGTTGGTTTCTAAGGAACTATGAGCCTGATGTTGTTTTCTAAGGAACTATGAGCCTGATGTTGTTTTCTAATTAACTATGAGCCTGATGTTGTTTTCTACGGAACTATGAGCCTGATGTTCTTTTCTAAGGAACCATGAGGCTGATGTTGTTTTCTAAGGAACTATGAGCCTGATGTTATTTTCTAAGGAACTATGAGGCTTATGTTGTTTTCTAAGGAACTATGAGCCTGGTCTTGTTTTCTAAGGAGCTATGAGCCTGATGTTGTTTCCTAAGGAACTATGAGGCTGATGTTGTTTTCTAAGGAACTTTGAGCCTGAAGTTGGTTTCTAAGGAACTATGAGCCTATTGTTGTTTTCTAAGTAACCATGAGCCTGATGTTGTATTCTAAAGAACTGTTAGGCTGGTGTTGCTTTCTAAGGAACTATTAGGCTGATGTTATTTTCTAAGGAACTATGAGGCTGATGTTGTTTTCTAAGGAACTATGAGCCTGGTGTTGCTTTCTAAGGAACTATGAGCCTGATGTTGTTTTCTAAGGAACTATGAGCCTGATGTTCTTTTCTAAGGAACTATGAGCCTGATGTTATTTTCTAAGGAACTATGAGGCTTATGTTGTTTTCTAAGGAACTATGAGCCTGGTGTTGTTTTCTAAGGAACTATGAGCCTGATGTTGTTTTCTAAGGAACTGTTAGGCTGGTGTTGCTTTCTAAGGAACCATGAGGCTGATGTTGATTTCTAAGGAACTATGAGCCTGATGTTATTTTCTAAGGAACTATTAGGCTGATGTTGTTTTCTAAGGAACTATGAGCCTGGTGTTGTTTTCTAAGGAACTATGAGCCTGATGTTGTTTTCTAAGGAACTTTGAGCCTGATGTTGGTTTCTAAGGAACTATGAGGCTGATGTTGTTTTCTAAGGAACTATGAGCCTGATGTTGATTTCTAAGTAACTATGAGCCTGAAGTTGTTTTCTAAGGAACTATGAGTCTGATGTTGTTTTCTTAGGAACTATGAGCCTGATGTTGTTTTCTAAGGAAATATGATTCTATTGTTGTTTTCTAAGGAACTATGTGCCTATTGTTGTTTTCTAAGGAACTATGAGCCTGATGTTTTCTAAGGAACTGTTAGGCTGGTGTTGCTTTCTAAGGAACTATGAGGCTGATGTTGATTTCTAAGGAACTATGAGGCTGCTGTTGTTTTCTAAGGAACTATGAGCCTGATGTTGTTTTCTAAGGAACTATGAGCCTATTGTTGTTTTCTAAGGAACTATGAGCCTGATGTTGTTTTCTAATTAACTATGCGCCTGATGTTGTTTTCTAAAGAACTATGAGGCTGATGTTGTTTTCTACGGAGCTATGAGCCTGATGTTGTTTTCTAAGGAACTATGAGTCTGATGTTGTTTTCTTATGAACTATGAGCCTGATGTTGTTTTCTAAGGAACTATGAGCCTATTGTTGTTTTCTAAGGAACTATGTGCCTATTGTTGTTTTCTAAGGAACTATGAGCCTGATGTTGTTTTCTAAGGAACTATGAGCCTGATGTTGTTTTCTAAGGAACTATGAGGCTGGTGTTGCTTTCTAAGGAACTATGAGCCTGATGTTATTTTCTAAGGAACTATGAGGCTGATGTTGTTTTCTAAGGATCTATGAGCCTGATGTTGTTTTCTAAGGAACTATGAGCCTATTGTTGTTTTCTAAGGAACTATGAGCCTGATGTTGTTTTCTAATTAACTATGAGCCTGATGTTGTTTTCTACGGAACTATGAGCCTGATGTTGTTTTCTAAGGAACTATGAGGCTGATGTTGTTTTCTAAGGAACTATGAGCCTGATGTTGTATTCTAAAGAACTGTTAGGCTGGTGTTGCTTTCTAAGGAACTATTAGGCTGATGTTATTTTCTAAGGAACAATGAGGCTGATGTTTTCTAAGGAACTATGAGCCTGGTGTTGTTTTCTAAGGAACTATGAGCCTGGTGTTGTTTTCTAAGGAACTATGAGGCTGATGTTGTTTTCTAAGGAACTATGAGCCTGATGTTATTTTCTAAGGAACTATGAGGCTGATGTTGTTTTCTAAGGAACTATGAGGCTGATGTTGTTTTCTAAGGAGCTATGAGCCTGATGTTGGTTTCTAAGGAACTATGGGCCTATTGTTGTTTTCTAAGGAACTATGAGCCTGATGTTGTTTTCTAAGGAACTTTGAGCCTGATGTTGTTTTCTAAAGAACAATGTGCCTATTGTTGTTTTCTAAGGAACTATGAGTCTGATGTTGTTTCTAAGGAAAAACACCTTGCAACAATGTAATTTTTGTTGCAGGCAATTTCCTTTTTTCAACAATTTTTTTATTTTGTTCAAGCATATTCGAGGACCATTTATATTTTTTCGATAAAATCCCAGCCTCACAGGCAGTTTGGGTTGTGCACTCTCCAGGAAGCTGATAATGAAAATCGAGAGCACACTAATCCATTGACCAGGGTAATAACGTAGCGCTGGTGTGGATTTGGTGCATTATAAATCTGCAAGGCCATTGAAAACATGGAGACGAAAAAAACACAACAAAATATTTTATTTGCTATCACAAAAGGAAAACACTGACATAAACTTGACACACGGATCAAGAGGGGGCATATATTGATTGCACATACTAATATCTAAGCATACTCAATATTTATACAATGTAATAGGTTGCTGGGTAGACTACATGTACACACGCTACAAACACGTTAACATCATTTGATGATATGTTCAAGACTATGCAAACCACTACAAAACGTAATTAAATCGAACACTTTTAGGTGAACACATGACCACAAAATTACCCTTACTTCCAAAAAGATTTCCAAGCTTGTGAGTTGTGTGACAGTGTTTGTTTGTTTGTTTGTTTGTTGTTTAACGCCGCATAATAGTCCAGCTACACGACGGCGGCCTGTAAATAGTCGAGTCTGGACCAGACAATCCAGTGATTGACATCATGAACATCGATCCGCGCAATTGGGATACGTTGACATGCATCAACCAAGTCAGCCAGCCTGACCACCCGATCCCGTTAGTCTCCTCTTACGACAAGCATAGTCGCCATTCACGGCAAGCATGGGTTGCCGAAGATTCTAACCGGGATCTTCACGTGTCGGGTGTAAATTGAAACGTTTGGAATCAAACTGCACGTGGACCACATCCATGGTTTACAGTTCTTCCACAGGTGACGGGATGGTAGATCATCATCATATCATTTCTTGCTGTGTTTCGTACGAAATTATGACTGCTTATGCAGATTTGTTTGAGTGTTGAAATAAATGCAGAGAAATTCTAAGATATTTTATTTCTGTACATGTTCCCCAATAATTCAATAACAATCTACAATCGAAGAAAAACAATGTTTGGAAAGATTTGTATTTCACCGTCCACATGGCCGACAGTGTGATCAGATATTCAGCCTCGTGATGAAGTCACAAACAGATTACTGCAATGGTGGTGACACAAAGTGTCCACTATACAACAAGAAGCCCAACTGGAAGCATGGCGGTGTAATTATAATGGTGTCCTCCACAGAAGGGTCTCATGTGTGCATCAGCCGATGCCTGTAGGAATGTACATGAATTAATACAACAGTAAAATGATAGTGGTGGACACAATACCGACAATCGTTCATACAATTGTTCGCAGACAATCAGTCTAATGTAATCTGCAAAAAGATAAGCTATAGTGTTCACACGTGTCTTTTCTTTTGGATTAAAAATTAATCGCACATCCCGTGTTCTTTGATTAGAACCAGCTCGGGTATCCTCATCACTGCTTCAGCTGATGGCTCGTCAAGGTGTGTACGGGCATCTCGCGGGGTTCTGTTCCCGCTGTTGTAAACCATTTCTGTTTCTATTTCAACTGAGCAACCTTCGGATCAAAGATAAAGTACTCATGAACCTTCCTAAAATCAAAACTGTAGTTTGAAATCACTTGATGACCTCGTGTTGAAAGACAAGACCTGAGAGGGGCCTCAAGTAGGGTCATTCTTTCAGATGTGACCCTATATTTAACTTCTAATGACACCAATCCAAATTCGTTGAACATTTTAACGCCGTGTTCCCCATCATAGGATCGGTGTTTCACCTTCTCAATACAAGCTTCCAAAAGTGTGTTCAGTTTGTACTTGTCCGCCAGGTAGAGGAAATGAACTAATTCTTTGTTGGGTGGATTGTTCAGTTCCTTAACCCTGTGATTGAAGCGTGCTAGGACAAACTCCTCACACCGCAGCTTGAGAGACTCGATCCCGTATTCGTCGGCGAGCGGCAGAACTGCGTCGAGTGTTTCCATGGAGATGGGCTTGCAGAATGGCGGGTAGACACATAGCAGTAGCTCCACAAAGTCGTCGTACTTCTTGTCTGCGATAGGAACCTCTGTCTTCCCTTTCCATTCCCCCACAAACATCTTCAGAAATACAGGAGACAAGTGAGATAGCACACATGTATTCACATGTAGGGCCTTTCCTTCAACAACGAGCGCTACGTCACTCAGCGCACTCTGTGTCCGAAACATGGAGTCGTAAGGACTAAGAGGCCCTGCTTCCTTCCCTTCAGAGTCCGACATTGTTGTCACGTCAAAATATGATCAGATGACTGCAATATGGCGGTTCATTTGGTCCTCGAAAAGCATTTGTGTTCCTGGTAAACCTACTTTCGATTCAGTTAAGTCGGTAAGAGTTAACTCCCTTTTTATGTAACACCAATTCATTGGGCCGCACTGGAGTTGTATTTCACTGAAACTAACGTTCGGTCTAGTTTTGAATCGGTTTCAGCGTTATACAAGCATATATATATATTGATTGGTTATTTTCATTTACCTATTGACATCAATCATATAAAATCCTTTAAGTTTTGTTCCTTTCAACGGACCTATAACAACATGTTTTGGTGAAGTTAAATAATGCAAGCCAGGCTGATCTAAGTCGCTTTACGTTTTGTTAAAGGGGGGCCATCAAATTTAAGAGTGTTAAACAAATTGCAACATGTTACAGAACGAACATGGGTTATTTGGTGCAAAACAAACCATGACAGAGTTAAGCTGAAGGTATAAAATGTGTGAAATGACTGATTTTAGAAGTTTCATTGAACCCTTTTCTTAAATGTGCCTTAGACGACTGGGCCACCAGTACCCCCGGATCCAGGTAGAGAATAGGTCTTCAGCAACCCATGCTTGCCGTAAAGGGCGACTATGCTTGTCGTAAGAGGCGGCTAACGGGATCGGGTGGTCAGGCTCGCTGACTTGGTTGATGCATGTCATCGTATCCCAATTGCGCGGATCGATGCTCATGATATCAATCACTGGATTGTCTGGTCCAGACTCGACTATTTACAGACCGCCGTCATACAGCTGGACTATTTATGTGAACATGAGCAAGTATTTCACCAAGCTGGTTGTCTAAGGAGATATTGGTCTATAGATTACTTACGTAGTAAACAAACAGTTTTGGGTCACTGACTTTCTCCTAGTTATATTTTCTCTTCGGGAGAAACATCGGCCCCTTTCCCATACTTATATATTTGACCATGTCATAGGTCAAACACGTGCTTTTCTTAGAACGGAAAAGGCGAGTTATCAGTCAGACAAATGAATGATTTTTGGTAACAATAATTCAGTTATATTTAAATTCAGAATTTGAATTTTAAAAAAGGCCCCAACCATGCTTCTTCCTATGACCATCAGAAATAGCATTTTCAACACAATCACTCAAAACATCAATGGCAGATTGGTTCAAGTTCGCAGATTCATGTTTGCCGTCAGTATATATACTGAGGGAAATAAATAAGGGATCGCATAGTGTGTTTGGGCAATGCGTCCGAATGTTGTTATTTTCTTTTGGCCGTTTTTCGGAAGTACATGGTCAACATCTCCAAAACGCAGGGTATCACCTATAGAAAGACATGCAGTGCACGTGTTTCAGTAGTTTTTCATGGCACAATGGGGTATAAAGTCTTCTACTGTAAGACCAATCTCATTGACATCAACTGCGTGAAACATGCCAAGACAGTACATGTGTTTGAAGGAGAAATGGCAGGCAATCGGGATGGTGAGGTCAGGCCAGTCACTGCGAGAAGTTGCAAGACACTTTCATAAGTCCATCAGTGTCCTCTCACGACTGTGGAACCTCTGCAGGCAGACCGGCGATGTTGTCATGAGACGTGGGCGTGGGCCACCAAAGAAAACTACAGCTCGTCAAGATCGTCAGATTCGGCTGATTTGTTTGAGGGATCGCTTTAAACCTGCCCCAAAAGTGAATACCCAGTTCAGAGCTGTCACACATCTACGGTTAAGTGATCGCATAGTACATAACAGGCTGCGTTCAGCGGGTCTACAAAGTCGCCGTCCCGTGGTAGGAATCAGGATGACTCAAGAACACAAACGGCGAAGGTTACAGTGGGCAAGGCAGCATGGAGCCAGACAGCTGCGTCGTTGGCGATACACCATGTTCAGCGATGAGCCTCGTTTCAATATGGACAATGCAGATGGTCGGATACGTGTTTGGAGACGACGTAATGAACGATTACAAGCATGCACTGTCAAACAGCATGACAGATACGGAGGTGGATCAGTGATGGTCTGGGGTGGAATCACCTACGACAACCGAACAGATTTGATTCGTGTGGATGGTCGTCTAACTGGTGTTCGTTACCGTGACGAAGTGTTACGCCCAGTGGTGCTTCCGTTCGCTAACAGAGTTGGGCGGTTGTTCGAGTTTCAGCAGGACAATGCAAGGCCACATACTGCTCGTGTTTCAGCCGATTTTTTTAGGCAGAACCAGGTCGCTGTGCTTCCATAGCCGGCTAATAGTCCAGGCGTTAACCCGATAGAACATTTATGGGACGTTCTTGGTCGTCGGGTGCGAGATCGCATTAATTAACCTCGTAATCTGGGCGAGATGTTTGACTGTTTAAGACAAGAGTTGCATAATGTTCCAAGGGCTACAATCCGGGCATTAATTCGGAGTATGCAAAGACGTTGTCAGGCTGTTGTGAGAGCTCGTTGTGGTCACACGTCATACTGAAGAACTGAGATTAAGTCATTATTTACCATGCAGCTTTCATTTGATCAAGTGTTGTATTAAAATCTTATGTCTGCGCCATCTATGCGATCCTTTATGTTATTCCATCAGTGTATTTACACGACCGATGCCGTTAGCTCTACCGAAATACCACCAAAATATCCAACATAGAGTTACTTCCCTTTGACCATATCGGAGCACTTCGTTCACTTGTCAACTGATTTCTTCAAGCGTACATCAATCAAATGACGTTGGTATGTTTTCTTCTATCACATAAATATCTCTGGGCAGGTAATTTACATTCTAAACTATGATCAGATTAATGCTGTAGATGCTGCTGGTGTTTGTGTCGCACCTGAAAACCTAACGTTTCAGCAGCCCTTTTTCTAAACATCTTTTGTTTCAGTACCATTCAGAAAACCTACAGTTAATTCATCTCGACCTCATTCATTCTGCACGTGGTCGGGTAGCCTTGTAGCCTAGTGATTAAAGCGTTCGCGCGTCACGCCGAGGACCCGGGTTCGATTGCCGTGATGGGTACAATATGTGACGCCCAATTCTGGTGTCCCCCTTCGTTATATTGCTGGAATATTGCTAAAAGCGGCGTAAAACCATACTCACTTACTCATTCTACACGTGTGTATGAACCGCGTCAGATTAGTCTCGTCATCATCCTCAAACCAGCAGAGAATTGGCATTATTAGCGATTACCCTTCTTTAATACTGGGTATGATTTAAGTGTCTTTTTTTAACGCCGCACTCAGAAATATTCCAGCTATATGACAGCGGCCTGTAAATAATCGAGTCTGGACTAGACAATCAAGTGATTGACATGAGCGTCGATCAACGCAATTTGGATAAGATGACATGCATCAACCAAGTCAGCGAGCCTGACCACCCGATCCCGTTAGTCGCCTCTTACAACAAGCATAGTCGCCTTTTACTCCAGCCTGGGTTGCTGAAGACCTATTCTACCCGGGGTCTTCACGGGTCTAAGCGTCTTTTAACAGATAGTGGTTCAGCAAAGACTCACTCGTAAGTGAAAACGCGCATTAGAATGGATAACGTTTATCACTCAGATGAAACCCGCCAGCAAGGACAGGTGCCGACAAACCGACGATCATGAACAGGGCGAATATGAGATTGGGACCAACGATTAGCAGATCCTTGCACATCTAAGAGACGCAACTTCGTACTGCGCTCTCGACCTCTGTGGCCCCAGTAAGGGCATTGACATTGTGAAAGACGTTGTTCACCCTTTCTTATGTTGAAGGTTTCGCTGGTTGCACCTGCAGTGAGTGAGTGAATTCGGTGAAGCCCACGTGCACGGGTATGGTGCTGACAAACCTAGAAACATGATCGGGGCGAACAGGGTTCGAAGGCATTGGCATAGTCCAAGGAACGCAACTCTGCACAACGAATTGCGGCGCCAAAGACGACTGGACCACCCGTGCTTGCAGACTTTATCTGATGCAATGATCCAGAGATGGGCGAGGGATAGTTGAATATACCCATATTCCCTTTGAAGCTTTGAAACATGTTTGCTTTAAAGGTGAGGTGAAATTGGGTTTAACGTCGCGTCCAAGATTATTGCGCTTAAATAGCGACGTGCATGCACGAGTATGTGTGTGTGTGTGTGTGTGTGTGTGGCTGCTTGTACTAGTCCGGACTGATGCCGATTTATAGTGCTAGCACCGAGATATCATGCCGCAGTTTAACATGGATACCCCACTCAGACACAGTATACTGACTCCGAGCCGACCAGTCCTTGTTTTAGCCCTTTAATGCCGAGCGCCAGACAGGGTAACAACAAGTACCATCTTTTATATCTTTTTGGTATGACGCGGCCGGGGATCGAACCCCGGACCTTCCGCTCTCCGGGCGGACGCTCTACCACTAGACCACGGAAGCGGTCTGTTTCTTTAAAAAAATAATACGATTCGCGAAGTATTAGCATTCACCCACCACCAACAGCCAACCCCGAACCCATATCTTGTTATCCAGGAAGCTTGCAGTGGGACCTCGGGCGATTCACTTTATTGGAGGAGCTACGGTATGAACTGTCGCTGACCTCGAGAGAATAATATCTCTCTGTACGGGTCTTATACCCCTTGCGCTAACAAACCTTAAATGGACCCTGAATAGCTTATCAACGCCCTGTGCCTTAACTTAATCACTTCAACCCACATTGTCTTTTTCAGAATGGTTTATGCTACGTTTTCAACAATATATATATAAATATAACGAAAGGCAGCTTTAGAAAGTACAAATGAACTCTCACAGACCACGTGAGAGCATATACGCGTATATATGGTAGCATACTTCGCCGAATCTGTACAAACTTCTAACTTAAGTATCTTAAATGCTAAAACAGCCGCGGCGTATATGAAATGCAGGCCTAGCGCATGGAGGAGAAACGAGCCTCGAAAGCAATGGCGAAATTTCAAACACAGGTCTCGCTATTCAAATCACATGTATGTGGAACCGCTGAGGGTCGGATTCACTAGACGTACGAGAAGACGACCATACAATAGCTGCTGTTGTTGATGAGAGGGAAGCGTGAATTCCGCCATTCATGGCGCTCACATGTGGTGATTTCAC